GACATCATGACGTCAATGGATGGTTGTCAAACGTTGCCTAGAGATTGTAAATTTCGTCGTGAATTGTCAACACGAGTTGGTGTAATTCGCAAGGCGTGTGGATTACACCAGAGAGACCCCGAGTTCGAGTCCCGCCGTAAGCATGAAGTTTTTTAGTTGATGGAAGTTTTTGTTGAACTTTCTGGAATTATTTGTGTGAAAGAAATGAAAAATTAAAGAGCGAGAAGGAGAATAAATAAAAATGAATAACGAAATTATTGGAAGGTTCTGGAGTCATGACGATCTTTTTGATCGTCATGACTCCAGAACCTTCTAGAAATTTCCAGAATAACGAAATTGAATGTTCCAGAACCTGACCGGGGGTATATAACCGGAACTGCGGCTCACCGCTGGCAGTTGAGTTCTAAGTCCAAAGCGATTCGGAAGAAGTGAAAAAGAAGAAAAGTGAGTGAAATAGTTAAGTGCAGTGAAATAGTGAAGTGCAGTGAGTTAAGTTAACGTGCACAGTGAGCGGCAAACGGAAGTTTGTGTCAGTCGCCCGGACTCTGCTGGAGAGGAACGCCTATAACTTAACTCCGTGGACGCTGTCACTTAAGTGCAATAGAAAGTCTGAAAACCGGTATTAGTGTTTAATTTCATCCAATCCCGTAACCCAAGCCCGCACAGACAGGAACGTGACGTCAGACACGTAACATTTGGTGTCAGAAGTGGGATTGGAGAAAAATGCCTCTAGTGCCGCAGGACGTAGGAGTGAGTACCCGTGCAATGTAAGAAGCGCAGCGTGTGAGGGAAGAGGGTGTTGCAGCTCAAACCAGCGATGCAGAAGCCAAGCCTGTGCAGGTGGATCTTCTGCTACAGCTGCAGCAAATGATGGTAGAGCAAGCGCGCCGCCAAGAAGAGAGCAAGCACGCTGTCAGGCAGAAAAGCTACGGAAGCTGAAAGAAGATCAAGCTCGTCGCCAAGAAGAGCAAGCACGCTGTCAGGCAGAACAGCTACGGGAGCTGAAAGAAGATCAAGCTCGTCGCCAAGAGGAGCAAGCGCGTCGCTGCATAAAGATTTCACGAAGGGACTGCAAAAGGCTGTCGAACGGGTACAAGAAGTGGAGGAATGGTTAGGCAAGTTGGAACATCGCGTCATGGCGATAGAGGAGAGAGTGGAAGAAGAGATCTCCAAAATCAAGCAGGAAGTGACAAGCCCAAGCCCTTTGAAGAGCCGAAGCCGTCTTGCAGCCGTTTTTGACGCCCCAAATGTGGCCTCAATCGCAACGAAAGGGCTCAAGATTCCCCATTACGACGGAACAACATCCTGGACCGCGTTCAAGCTAAAGTTTGAGACACTTATGGAGGCCCCGGCGAGATTCGAACTCACGATCTCCTGTTACCGCGTTCAAGCTACAGTTTGAGACACTTATGGTGGGGGCTCGTCCGGGATGTTGTTCCGTCGTAATGGGGAATCTTGAGCCCTTTCGTTGCGATTGAGGCCACATTTAGGGCGTCAAAAACGGCTGCAAGACGGCTTCGGCTCTTCAAAGGGCTTAGGCTTGTCACTTCCTGCTTGATTTTGGAGATCTCTTCTTCCACTCTCTCCTCTATCGCCATGACGCGATGTTCCAACTTGCCTAACCATTCCTCCACTTCTTGTACCCGTTCGACAGCCTTTTGCAGTCCCTTCGTGAAATCTTTATGCAGCGACGCGCTTGCTCCTCTTGGCGACGAGCTTGATCTTCTTTCAGCTCCCGAAGCTGTTCTGTCTGACAGCGTGCTTGCTCCACTTGGCGACGAGCTTGATCTTCTTTCAGCTCCCGTAGCTGTTCTGCCTGACAGCGTGCTTGCTCTTCTTGGCGGCGCGCTTACTCTACCATCATTTGCTGCAGCTGTAGCAGAAGATCCACCTGCACAGGCTTGGCTTCTGCATCGCTGGTTTGAGCTGCAACACCCTCTTCCCTCACACGCTGCGCTTCTTACATTGTACGGGTACTCACTCCTACGTCCTGCGGCACTAGAGGCATTTTTCTCCAATCCCACTTCTGACACCAAATGTTACGTGCCTGACGTCACGTTCCTGACTGTGCGGGCTTGGGTTACGGGATTGGATGAAATTAAACACTAATACCGGTTTTCAGACTTTCTATTGCACTTAAGTGACAGCGTCCACGGAGTTAAGTTATAGGCGTTCCTCTCCAGCAGAGTCCGGGCGACTGACACAAACTTCCGTTTGCCGCTCACTGTTCACGCTAACTTAACTCACTGCACTTCACTATTTCACTGGACTTAACTATTTTACTCACTTTTCTTCTTTTTCACTTCTTCCGAATCGCTTTGGACTTAGAACTCAACTGCCAGCGGTGAGCCGCAGTTCCGCTTATATACCCCCGGTCAGGTTCTAGAACATTCAATTTCGTTATTCTGGAAATTTCTGGAAGGTTTCCAATAATTTCGTTATTCATTTTTATTTATTCTCCTTCTCGCTCTTTAATTTTTCATTTCATTCACACAAATAATTCCAGAAAGTTCGACAAAACTTCCATCAACTAAAAAACTTCATGTTTACGGCGGGACTCGAACTCGGGGTCTCTGTGGTGTAATCCACACGCCTTATCGATTACACCAACTCGTGTTGACAATTCACGACGAAATTTACAATCTCTAGGCAACGTTTGACAACCATCCATTGACGTCATGATGTCAAAGAGTTTGAACCACTTTTCCGTCACAATATGTTCTCAGTTCCACCTGGCATACCAACAACCATATTTGTGATTGGCTGAACAGTGCAGTTGTCAGAAAATATCAGTTTAACTTAGAGCAGATTTTGGTATATCGCCCACCCAACAACAAGGGAGGTTTTTAATTTCACTAATGTGTATATATTTGTACATATGAGGGTTACATCTGGACTACAATTTATGCACTACACTAATGTCTTCCAAACTAGGGCAAACCGATGGAACTCCAGACAGATGGCAGCCCTTGTTTCAGAGCTAAAATCAAGGTCACACAAATTCAGAAAATAAAAAATGGCAAATGTGGATGCTATTCTAGCTTTTTAAAAGCAACTATGCTATTTGTATTGTGTGGGGTTCAAGTTGTTTGGAAAATAAAAGAAGTTTTAACTTAATTTAAAGTTTATTGGTCATTTTAATCCAGCTGAAACAAAAGAAAATTTGTTATTAGTAAGAATCAACATGAAGAGCAGTAAACTTCTAATCACTACATTACCAGTCAACAATATAAAAATACAATATGATTTCTTTCACACCACAGATTAATTCTAAAATTTGAATACCTATTAAAAATTGTGGAATTCTTATATTTTTTAAACACAAGTACTAGAGTTGCTTACATTGAGTGTTTATTTATGCTATCCCATCTCAAATAATCATTTTGTATGATAATTTCAGTAACAATCTTAAAAATAAATCTTGGCAGATATAAGGAATGTTTACTAATTGGATAAAAACTGTAACAGTTGCTTCTTTATATATTACAATTTTAATTATTACATTAGAACTATGGAGAATATCCATACTTATGGAGAGTATCCTATTAGTGCCAAATTAGGTAGTCAGGGAATGGAATGAACTACCAGAACAGTTTTGGACAAAATCTACAAAACCGTTAATACACTTAGTAACCTGCTAATGTGTTCAAGTATAAAAATATTAAGTGACAATTGTATATTAAATGAATATAATATGATAGATGACAAACCAATGATATGTGCTTCTAAGACTGACCCGTGTTTTTACAGACACCAAAACAAAACAAATCATTTGAGTAATATCACTATTTCAGCGTGTCACTGTATATGTAAAACCGGGTATATATAGCTAACTGTAATCAGTTTAGTTTTGATAAAATTGAACTTAAACTACGAGATGGAACAACAGACAGACAAAAAATAATCCTCTAACCAATTAAAAGTTGGTGACAAAATCACTAAATACGTAAACGTACCTTCTTGAAACCAATGTCATGGGCGTATTCCCTGAAGCACTGTCTGCAGATGTTAAGACCGTACTTGCGGATAAGACCGTGTCTGTTGGAGCAGGCGCGGCTGAAACATGGAAACCAGAACTTGAAACACGTGCTCTAACCAAAAATGCACTACTCTTTAAGTTTTATTTTTTGTAGAAACACTTACCAAGAGCGGGAGCCCTGGCCATATCTGCGAGGGTGAGAGTACCAAATGTTAGCGTGACCCATTGTGTAAATTATTTAATTCTTGCGCTGCACGCAGAACGCAACACGTCCAAAATGGCGGCTACACGAAAAGAACGGTCTAGAGTTAGGCTTTGACACTAGGGTTTTTTGACAGTGACATTTGTTATTTGATTGGAAACACCGACTTTTAGTACTAGATTCTTAAACTATGGATGTGTAAGATTTATGATAATAAATGGATTTTAAAAAAATATTTAATTTATAACATGATATAACTTTTCAAAATATAGATTATACCATAATTTCTTAAATATTGTATAAGTAATTTAAATTGTAATGTCAACTCATTTCACCAGATTTACAAAAAAAAATGTGTAAATAAAAGATACCTACTCGGAAATATTTTTCATTGATTTCATCGTTACCTTTAGAGCACATATAGTAGGTACCTATGGGTCAATCATGAACCTAAATGGGTCAATGACCTTAAACCACCAAAATGACATCATTGACGTCCTTGACATTGACGTGTACGGATAAATAGGGTTGAACTAAGGTTGAACGCACGAGTGAAATATGAATCGATTGAAACAAATTATTTCCTATCGATATTACTTTAATCGATAGGATGCACAAAAATGTTGCAAAGATATAATAATATTATGTTATAATTTGTAGAATGTGTTCGTTTGACCATTTATCGTTTTTTATTTGCTTCACAGGTATGATTTACATATTGGCTTGTCCAATACGAAAATAAGAACTGTGAGGACATAAATGAACCCTGAAATTCATAATAAATTATTGCTTCTAAAATCGATTACAAATACATTTGCTCCGATTGCACTACGTCAAGTCACTTTAGACAAGACAATTCAAGACATGAATATGACACGACACTCGACAGACAGACGAACGAACGGTTAACGTTATCACGGTAGTCGGTACCTTCCTACTTTAGCTAGCCAATACGTCCTCAGTTCTAGTTTTTATTTTTTATGAATGGGCTATTTTGTAGCTCATATATTATAGGTGATCTATAAAAGGTATATTCAATTTATATGTGTTGTTATTTTTGCTTTATATTTGATTTTAAAACTGATTATATTCGTATTTTGTGTTTCTAATGTATTCAAATGCCGTGCACATATTTCTGTCATTGATTGCCCATAAAGGTACATAATTTTTGTTTGTGAATTGTGAAAAGTGACTCTGCTTTGAGGAAGCCCATCTCAAATCTTTAATATAGGTGATCACGTCAGCCACGTTGACTGCTCAGTTGGCGTGCTTTTTTGTATTCAGTAAAAACTTTCATGCAACCAACACTTTCTCATATTTTCCTAAATATTTTTATTATTGAACATCTTACAAAAAGGAATGTGTACATGCATTTCCATGTCAAAAACATAACAATGTATGTTACTTGTCTGTTTTTTTTTTTATATTTTGTAAACATATTTCATTAAGGCATGTTCCTTGTTCATTTTTGGATCACAATTTAATAGTAAAAGGTCTGGAGATTACAATAAAGTAACTCTTTCATTTTGTGCAAATTTTAGAACAGATTTAAAGCTGTCATCATGTACCTGCCTTTTCTTTTTACCTTTTAACTGTTATCTTTAAATGGTTCACTTTAAATTGATTGTATCTTGTAAAACACATTTACTCAGAAATTACAGATATGTCATAATTTAATTAATTTAGTTACCAAAAGATAAGATTTTGTAAAAAAAATACCTATACTATTATCACTATGAGCCTTCAGATTTGAACATTGCTACATTATTTATTTTATTCAACAGGTACCCAGCAACCACAATGGGCTTCATATTTAATTTGATAAAAAGATTATTTATAATAACCCTCAAGACAGTTTTCTTTTTGGCTCTTATATCTGCCATCATTGTTCTTATCCCCAACTTCCCACCATACACAAAATTTACCAGCATTGAGTAAGTACATTCAATTTTAATACACATATCTTGGACTTTTTTAATCTTGGATTGGCTGACTTGGATCCTTTTTTAATGAATTATTTATTTTAGGATACCATCACCACAGCCAAGAGTTGGCCCATTGGCCACAAATGGGGCATTGAATAATGGTGGGAAATTGTACTCTGGTAAACTATTGGGACCGGAAGCTTTCCAGATATACAAAGGAGAAGTATATACCAGCTTGGCAACAGGAGAGATTGTGAAACTGTCACCACAAGGTCATGTTACATTTGTTGCCAAAATTGGGGAACCATGCAGTAAGTAACTGAAAATTCTCATTTTCAACAGATTTCTTCATTCTGTGGTTCTGTTAACACCACATAATTTGGTTTTCAATTATTCAACATGTTTATATCTGGCCATTGTATTCAACTTATAAATTTTAATTATCAAAATGTTGTAATGTATTTATCTTTGTTCACTTGTTTTTCATACACAATAAAATAAGTAACTAAGCTTGCCTATTTTGAAATGGCACATTCTGTTATGTATGAAGATTCTTTTTATATTTTAATCATGTATATATTTAATTTTATTTATTTCAGGTGGACTAGTTCATGAGCACATTTGTGGCCGGCCTCTTGGCTTTGTTATTGATGATAAAGATGGAAACTTGTATGCAGCTGATGCATATTATGGCATTTGGAAGGTAAACCTGAACTCAAACAAGAAACAACTTCTTGTGTCTCCAAGAGTTTCAATACAAAACCGGCTGCCTAAACTGTTTAACTCAGTTGCTTTGGCCAAGAATGGAGATTTATACTGGACAGACTCAAGCAGTGATTTTGAACTTAAAGATGGTGTTATAAGCTCTTTGTCTGATCCTTCAGGAAGGTAATTTAAGAAACCTATTATGAACTTCTATTTTATAATCATTTTTTGTAATGAATGATTGATTGATATTTTATTTTGTTTTTATGTAGACTCTTACATTATGACGCTGCTAGAAACCAAAGTAAAGTACTTTTGGATGACTTGTGGTTTGCAAATGGTGTGGTTGTATCGCCCAATAATGATTTTGTTGTGGTCTGCGAAACTTTCCGGAGCAGATTGATGAAATACTATCTCAGTGGACCTAAAAAAGGACAGTCTGAAGTTTTTGTGGATGGACTGCCTGGTAAGTTATTGTCTTATTTTGTTACTAAATCACTATTCACATCCTTCATACTATTTATTAATTTAATGCACATAATCAACATAACTATTTGTAACTGTCTGACATTTTTGAAGTCTATTATTATTTATTTTTATTTATTCATTCATTGCAAATGTTTCGAATTCTAATTGTTTCATTCATCCATATAAAACATTTTTTTATTACTTATGTTTAAGAAAATTAACAAGGAATTCAAGTCTCAAATTATCTTTGCGTTATTGACATATTTGACTTATTTATACATATATTGCAACATCACTCCCTTGTCTTCTCCACCATTGGCTTCGTTCATGATATATTCAAGGTAGCATAATTGATGTTCTGATTCAAAACACAGCAGAGAACTCTTAAGTAATAGAATACTCTACTTACTACCCTACCAGGGTCTACCCTTTTGTCATACTATTATGTCTTTTCATTTGGGGAAAGAACAAAAAATATTTTGGATGTTTTACTAACTGTGTCTTTCTGGATGTTTCTTGGACATCAGATCAGGCAGTGATGAAAAATAAGGTTGGTATTTTGCGTTGGTGAAAAACAGCCAATGAGCTGATTATAGCTTCCTAAATTTTGTATCGGAGTTTTTGCAATTTTCTAAGTTGGAAGCACATTTATGAAAAAACTTTAAACATTTCTTTGTCACAAATAGGTAGTTCGTAATCCAAATTTTAGTTTTATAATTTTTATATAGGTACAATACAAATTGAGGGATTAATAGGTATGTTATAAATAAACCGCCTATTTTGAAAATTATTTTATACATATATATATCTACCTAAATATGTGTTTTATAATCGTACAATCTTCCACCTCCATTTTAGGGAACTCTTACTCATAAGAAACAAATTTTCTATGTCCATTTTCTGGTCTGAAGCTACCTAATTCAACCAAATCAGTTAAGCGTTCTTTCTTCAGCTATACACAAACATATGATTTAATTAGGTAAATAATTAAAAACTCTTGCTGACTAATCAATAAATCTTTTGTAATTTATACTATTTTATCTAATATTTATTGTACATTTTTGATCATGATAAAGTACCTTATTTTTTAGTAATTTATCTTTATGTACAAAAATAATAGGTACAAAGTCCACAGTCCAACGATTTATTTTAATGTTTTTAGTTAATGTTAGCATAATAATTATTTTCATGTTAAAGTTTTAAAACTATGTCATAAGCCAAGCTGTTCATACCGTAAAATACTTAGAGACAACAAGGTTGGTACCCGTAGTGGTGAGGTCATGACATGACATACACAAGTTGGTAAATACATATACAATTATACACATATAGGATGTAAGCTTCTATAAAAAAAAATTGAAATAAATATTTTGCATCTTAATGTATTTTATTGTTTAACACACAACATTGGTTACAAAGCACTTCGCTATTTTAAACAAGGTACTATGCTATAAATATCCTTACATACAAGATGGTCTCGATGGGACAATTTCTTGTTATTCAATAAATGTCCTTATATCCAAGATAGTTTCGACTGAAGAGTTTCTTAATCATATAAACTTGTAACATTCCTACCACAAACATCAAACTTATCTGGATACCCGACCAGACGTCGACAATGAACGTGTCTTCGAAAGCCAAGTAACTGTCGCGCGACTTAGCCGCAGAGTATATGCTTAGCAGATGTCGGGACTTGACCACATGAGCTAACGTGCTCGATAAAGAATCTGCGATTTTGCCAACTTCCAAGTAGTAACTTTCCCCGTTTTCATCGGTACCCTGCCATTCTAATACTTCTTTTGGTTCGGCTTCGTCGCCTTCGGCGTCCTTCTCTACATCTCCGCTGTCTGCACTCTCTGTCGTCTTTGCTTCTACGTCACTTCGAGTCGCACCATGCTTGTCTTCTACTAATACATACAAGAACACAAGTTTAGAATTCATCATACTATATGTGTTGTCCATACAGAATGCATAATCTCCGTCCATTTCGAGGTCCATGATAATAGAGTTTTCGGAACTTTTTTTATCCGTCAGTAATGTAACATTCTTGGGGTCAATAACTTTGAAGTTTATATCCAAATCTCCATGTTGTCCGTCCAGTACCTGGTAGTACACTTCTAACATCTGCCCGCCTTTCCCTGTTTCGTAGACACACATCTCTGCCCCTGGTTCTATTCTAAAATTAACGTCACTCACGTATATATTTTGCCCATAACATTTTGTAGAATACAATATTGTTGCATATAAAAATATTTTTTTGTAAAACATTATTGTAGTTGGAGCGACTTTAAAGTAACTGTTGAAAGTATCGAATGTAGTACATGGTGTTGGTATTTCGTGACGTCATTGTTGATACAGTTGCTTTAGAATAATATGGGGCTTACCTACTACGCTCAACATAACAATTATATTCGTCAATTTAGTTTTTATAACTTTTATTGACTCTGCGCGTTCTTTTCATCTGTACAAATAGGTGCACCCGACAACGCGCGCCTGCTGCCGGACGGATCTGGTATCCTGGTTGCGCTGTACACTGTATTCGAAGAGGACCGACCACCCCTAACAAAATTGATGGCGGCTGCGCCATTATTCAGGAAGTTGGCAGCACGTCTCCACAGACTTGTTGAGATACCGTTTGAATATCTCAACAGCCTTTCTCCAAACATCATATTTGAAGAGATTGTTTATAGCGTAAGTATACAAAGTATGCAAAGTTAACACCAGAGACCAAATTCACAATAAATTTTTATATTTATCTATAAATAGTATTATTAAATACTGATATATGCTGTAAAATTTTACAGATTGGACACTTCAAAACTTTGTCGGGTCTAACTCCACAAATGTCTGGACTGGTACAATTGGATTGGAACGGAAATATTGTAGCTGCGTATTATAATACAGACAAATCTTTAGGTCACATCAGTGACGCCATTGTGTTCAACGGCAAGCTTTACACCGGTAGTCCTCATTTACAAGACTATGTTGGAGCAGTTGCTGCTCCACCTCAGTTGAAGAAAGCTTTTGAATCGTCCAAACAAGCCGAAAATCCTAAAGTTGTGAAGAAGACTGAAGAAAAACCTAAAGCTGCCCCTAAGCCTTCAGACAAGCCTAAGGTAGAGAAAGAAACGCCAAAGGTAGCTAAACCTCAAGAAACGGGCAAGCCCACAACAACAACTAAGCCAGCTGAAAAGACAACACCACCACCTAAGCCTGTCGAGAAGACTACTCCCCCACCACCTAAGCCTGTCGAGAAGACTACTCCCCCACCACCTAAGCCTGTCGAGAAGACTACTCCCCCACCACCTAAGCCTGTTGAGAAGACTACTCCCCCAACACATAAGCCTGTCGAAAAGACTACTCCTCCACCACCTAAGCCTGTCGAAAAGACTACTCCTCCACCACCTAAGCCTGTCGAAAAGACTACTCCTCCACCACAAAAGCCTGTCGAAAAGACCTCTCCACCCCCACCTAAACCAACAGAGAAGACACCACCACCACCTTCCAAGCCTGCCGAGAAAACACCTCCGCCATCTCCAAAACCTGTGGCTTCCCCTCCTCCACCAAAAGCGGCAGAAAAGCCTACTCCCCCTCCACCAAAACCTACAGTAAAGGCTTCTTCTCCACCACCCAAGGCAGCCGAGAAACCTTCCCCACCACCTAAAGCCGCTGAACCTAAAAAGGAAGAACCCAAAGTCCAAACTGCTGAAACTAAACCCAAACCAATAAAGGAGGAAATCCCGTCGGACACTATTAAACCAACTAAGGAAACTTTAAAAGTCATAAAGAGGGATGGTCCTGCTGAAATACATGTGCCTGTTCAGTGAATAACATAATATGGTTGTGGTATTTTAATTTATAAGTGATGCATAAAAGATCTCTCAGAAATGAACAAACACAATTGAGGGGACTTAAATATTGGGTGGGTTAATAATAATGTTACATACGATCTGCCAACTGCATTTACTTACACATGTGAAGTACGATTATATACAATACCTAATTTATATTTATGTACACATTACTTAGAAATTGAAATCTTCACGATTGTAGTAAATAATTTTTGAACACTAATTTTGTGTATAACTATGGGGTCAACAGTATATGCTGCCTTAAAAGCTCTATGAAAAATTATTACTTATATCCGAATTTTTTCTAAAGCAGTTTTTGGGCCTTGTTGATCCCACCAAAATGTTGCTGACACGCTACTAGATCTAGAACCTTGGGCGAATAGTTGCACTGATTTATTAGCACGTTTACATTCCTTTCCATTCCAACCTTTACTCCATAACCATGTAATGTTGTATTTACTTCTTGAAACTCATGTATACATTTAACGCTTAAAAATAAATGTATGCTTACATGAGTTTTAAAAATAATATTTAATCTTTTTTATAATTGTGATATTATTATGTGTGATTTGTTAAAAGGACCAATTTTTAAAAGTTACATTTGTTATTTTACTGCTGATTGAAGAGAACAATTTAAATATGATTATATGCACACATACATAATATTTTAAGGAATCTTAAAGTATCATTATTTAATAATGTTCTGTGCAAAATTATTGTACGTTATTATAATCACCTCACTTGTTACATTGTTGTACATTCATCGTTTCACGTATTGTTAGTTACCAGTCACCAATTAGTGCAATGAAAAATATTTATTTCAAATTATTTACTACAAATATTTATTAGTTGTTATCAGTCAGCACTATATTATAGCGAAAATACAAAAAATCATATTAGAGTCACTATACCATGTTAGTTAATGGGGTTATATGAAAGTAGTGAGTGAAATATTATTTATTACAACAAGGCATGTTTCTAAGAAAGTGTCATACTGTTTTATTTTGTGATTAGTTATAAAGCTATATGTAAAATATTATACGCAGTAACAAGTACACTGGTAATTTCATCCAAAAGAAATTCATAAAAAGAGCAATATTTGATGTTTAAGCAATAAAATATATTTTTTATTACATTATGTACATTTATATATTAAAACATTACAAAATAATTCTATCTTTATTTTATATTCACGTTTAGAGTTCATATGCAACCTCGTTATTTCAGTGAATGTGTACACAACTGCAGATTACAAGGTTTTTCGTCTGGTTTCCGGGTTCGGTTCCTTTATGCAATAACTAGCTTCATCACCTGCTTGCTTCGTCATATAATTATAATAATTCTGGTATTACAAACAGTAACTAATAATAAAATGGTCCTCATGTTCCATATCAAGCACCCCACGCTTTTGCCACTTTATTTGAAATTTTGTTAATATTTATATTAATGTTTATATTTATCTTATTATGAATTAATTACGATAATTGATTGTTGAATTTGATATGGCAGTAACACAAACTCTCTTACAAATATTATTTTCTACTTTTTAGTTCGATTGCTATTAAAGCGTGTTTTTTAGTTTTTTAAAACTATTATTTATTAAATAAAGTATTATTTTCAAGTTAAATTCGAAGATAACATTAATTAAAAAGACTAGCTTCCGCCAGCGGCTTCTCCTGCGTGCTGTGTTGATAACAAGCAGCCTAAGTATAGCAATAGAACAAAATCGAAGTTTATTAATCGTCTCATTTTTATGAGTACCTACATCTCCAATGGGTAAATTTACCCTATTACCATAGCTGGGCATTAACTCGTTAATTCGTTAATTAACGAAGTTAACATTTCGAGTATCGGATTAACTTTTGAAGTTAACTTAAAAATACTTTAACGGACTCGTTAACTTCCGTTAAATTTCCCTAAGTCCGTTAATTGTTAATCTAGCACAGGAACACATTCTGTCACACGGTTCTGACATGAACGTCTCCGACGGTCCGACGGTTGACAAAGTAACAACGACGATGATGAGGATGATTTTTTCAACTCTGTCACTCAGTCTAAGGAAATACTTACCTAAGAGCCAAAAATCTTTAAAAGGGCAAAGTCTCGTCAAGATGTGGCTAGTCGAAAGACTCGTTAAATGATGCTGCATTCCTCGGGAAACAGATATTAGCAAATTTGTTTATTAAATACTAGCTTCCGCCAGCGGCTTCGCCCGCGTTCTGTGTTGATAAAAAGCAGCCTATAGCAATAAAACAAAATCGAAGTATAAGTACATAAAATTTGTTATTAATCGTCTCATTTTTATGGGTAGGTACATTTTCCAATGGTAGGTACATTTTCCTCTTCATAGATAGAATGGTACGGATCTAACTAATAGGTAAGTAAGTATTACAAATATTTCATAAAACCTATTATATTATATTTTGTACTTCGTCAAGTCGAGCACGGCAACCGTTACACAAAATAATTCTTATAGCATGATTCAGTGTTCACATGCGACGGCGCGATGGCTTATTATCCGAACTGCTAAGTTATCAGGAGTTACACGTGCTATTGTGAGTTAACCATAAAATATATACATAATGCTGTAAAAAAAATTTTTATATCTTATGTAGAATATTTTCGTCATACATAATTTTTCTATATAACTTTTACCATTAAGGTTACGAACGCGACGGAAACTTACAAAAGGGAGTAAACTTCTCCCATTTTCCCAACATTACCCTTCGCTGCTCTGCCCCTATTATTTTTAGCGTGATGAAAAGTATCCTATAACCTGCCCAGAAGTACCTATAAAGAATAATTGTACTAAGTTTTGTTAAAATCCGTCGAATAGTTTTTGTGTCTATAAGGAACATACAGACAGTCAGACAAAAATTTTACTGATTGCATTTCTGGCATCAGTTTCGATCACTTATCACCCCCTGGTAGTTATTTTGAAAATATATTTAATGTACAGAATTGACCCTTCTACAGATTTATTATAAGTATAGATTCAACTGGTGGTCAAAGTAAATGCCTGGGCCAGCAACGAGCTTATTGTCAAAAAACATGTTACGCGACGATAGGAAGGTAGGTATCAAAAGAATAATTAATAGGTTCGAAAAATGGAGGCTCAGCAACAGCAATGTGTGAATCGGAGACCTGGGCTGGTTGATGATAATGAGATTGTAATACAGCAATGTTCATTGATCGCAGTTATTGTTTATATTTATAGTTATTGAAAAAAAAATCGTCGGATTCAAATAAAACAATAAAATGGGTTTAATTTCATTTACTTTTGTCAATGAAAATATTATGAATAATATGTTTACAGTATATAGTGACAACGTAAGTATTATCCTTTTTTTTAGTAAATAAAGCGACATAAATACAGTACGCGATTTCAGGAATGCGCCATCGCGTTCCATTAAATCTTTACAAATAGTTAACACAAACATTTGCAGAATATGTGAGAGCTAATTAATTATTTTATACAAATTGATCTCGCGTAAAATATAAAATGGAATGTAAAAATGTTCATGACAGAACATACTAACACAATGCAATTCTAAGTTTGGATATTTTTTCTCTTTAACTTAACAAAGTTTTAGGGCATTTATAGTCCTGCCAAATATAAGAGATCAAAAAGGTGAAATAGAAGTGTTACATATCCTATTCATAATACTTCTTTATTCTCAATAAATATTACTATGTACATTGGAAATATTAACACTATTTGGTGTCTAATTCAATTTATTGCATTAATATTCAATTCACTTTTCCACGCTATCTCCTAATATCTACACTTAATATTTCAACTTGAACGCCACAATTTATATACCTGTATAGTCGATCCTCCGTACATTCGGTACTTGTAATAAAAATTGGCATATGAGCGAGCCCTATAATAATCTGATAAAACAATCTTCTTGTAAGGCAAACCGTATCAGCATGTATTATTTTCACCATAATTGATGAAACAGGTCTTGTCTAACCTATTGTGTGAGCAAAAGAAGGCTGTTGCTAAATAAACACTTGTTCCGCTGCAAGCGCATCCGCAAACGGCTTGACGACGCACCGCGTTGCGAAGTAAAATATTAAACCGAATGTTATTGAAATGGGAAGCGCCGGCAACGCTTTCTTGAGTATTGCTAACAGAAGAAGTGTTAGACACAAACCCTGTTGACAAAACAAAATCAAATTAGTATAACTCAGAACACATGTCAGGGAAAAAACAGATTGCTCAGGTAAGGAAATATTAATGGATAATCTAATTTAATACTCACAATTAATATAGCTACAAAACACGCGAGCGTTGTGTTCCAGTCTCCATAAGAGCTGGCCTTTCCGACCAACACGCTGTAGAATATGAAGTCGCCCAGCCCGAGCTTTACGCCCTCTGATAAGAAAAACCATGGTTACTCTTAACGTTACACTAAAACTATACAAGTGCATTATGACTTTGTTCCCTGAAGGTAGAAAAAAGTAAGTAATGGAAGTCTAATAATAAAATGTGTATGTTTATGCTGTGGGCTAACATTATGCCAGCCAATGCAATTTAAGTGACTAATAATCAATTGAATGAACAGTCAAATCAGTGAATGAACACTACTTACTTTCCTCGTCGTCAGCGGCGGGTTGCGGCGCGGGGTGCGCGGCGGCGTTGGGCCGGTCGATGCGCGTGGTGTACCGCGGAGGCTCGGCGCGCTCCACTGTGTCCACGCGCAGTCGGCGCTGTTGCTGCGCACGCGCACGCCACGCAGAGTCAAACCCAGCCGCGTCACCGCCCGCCCCCGCTGCCTCATTGGCCTCGTTTTCTCGGGAACCTGAGTAAAACACACTTCCTAATAAGATTTCTTGATAAACTGCTTTGCCGCACTTGTAAAACCACTTATGTATTGTAATTATACCAATCATCTGCTGCAGGCTAAATACATAGTTAATTAAAGAAACACTTAAAAGAATAGAAAGGTAAAGCTTTAGTTATATAAAATGTTAAATATGAAGTAAGAGTGTATAAGAGTGACAGTAATAGCGTATGGGATGCGCAAGTGGGATGTGGGGAGACGGACCGTGCGGGTTGAGAGGGCGCAGCTCGCGCGCGCGCGGCTCACCTTCCCGCGCCTCCGCGCCGCCCTCCGCGCCGCCGCCCGTCGTCGTCGTCGCCGCCAGGCAGTACATC